TACCAAGTGCTGGTAGGGTTGCCAGGTCCCTCCTGGCAACCAGTGGGGCAGGGGGAACTGACCAGGAGCAGCAGGGAGGCCCATTCAACACACAGTGACGTGTCTATGTCACTGCTCATGTGACCCGGAAGTGATGTCATCACATCTGAGATGTCAGGGTGACACTCTTCTATTCGGGCAAAAACTCTATGGCAAATTTGGCTTCTACTATAGAGCTTTTGCCCAAATACCAGAGCATTGCCCCAACGTTCTAGATATGGTGATGTCACTTCCGGGTCATGTGCACATCAGGCGGATCTTCCTCTTTTTCAGGGTAAGTCCCCCCCGCTGGCCAATTGATTGGTGGCAGGGAAGTGGGGCCTGTCAGTGGGGGATCCCTGCCTCTACTGGGGGGGGGGGTCCGGCAACCCTAAGTGCTGGCCCTCCAGTGCCCATTTTACACCAATCACTGATACTTACTGTCTGAATCATAGTTTCAGAGGGTAGCTGTGTTAGTCTATAGTAGAACAGTTAGATTTGAGTCCAGTAGCACCTTAGAGACCAATAAGATTTTCGGGGCATAAGCTTTTGAGATTCAAAGTTCCCTTCATCAGACACAAGTAGATTAGAAGTGGAGATATGAGTCCTTTTATCTTAGTCAGAATGTGGGAGGGGTGTTGTAATTTCAGGGCTCTTTTTGTAGCAAGAACTCTTTTGCATATTAGGCGACACACCCCTTATGTAGCCAATCAACCAAGAGCTTACAGAGCTCTTCTTACAGGGGCTACTGTAAGCTCTTGGAGGATTGGCTACATTAGGGGTATGTCGCCTAATATGCAAAGGAGTTCCTGCTACAAAAAGAGCCCTGCAAGGATGCAGTGGTACAATGTATATTGTTATCAGCTTGATTAGAGCAGAGGGGAAATGCTTGGGGGCAGAAAATTAGCAGATAAAAATCCCATGTCCCTATTAAGTCCTGTCCAAACAAAACAGACCTCCCAGTAATCACACAGCCAAGGAAACAAGACAAAACTGGGGCCAATATAGAACCAATAATACACTCTGAACCATGAGTAGTATGCTAGATACAATTGCTTTATACTAGATAGTTACTATAAAGTATACAAAATTTCCCCAAATATTTACAACAATAAGAATACAATAGAATATCAGTGGCTGCCAACAGCCCCAAAATAACAGTGGAATTCCTAAACAGTTACTGTTGGCAGTCAAAAAAGTAGAAGGCTTAATGAGCTGAAAGCTACTGGAGCTTGACGAAGCAGCCGGCTTACACTTGGTTTCGTCTAGTGACTTCCTCATAAGCAGCTTAACTGTTGTTGTATATAAGTTTTCTTAATATGTGTATTTTCTTGGTTTTTAAGATACTCCTCTAGAGTTGCTACCTTTAATATAGGGACTAGCCCTTATTTCCTTGGACCATATCTCCTATGGGACCTGTCCTTGATAGACTAAGCTTCTTAGCCAAAGGTCTCTATTAAGTCCTGGGCAGGCTCTATTGTTCTGAATTTAAGAATTAACTCAAATTCAGCAGCCTCATGCTGTAATTTCCTTTTGAAATTCTTTGTTTGAGGACTGCCACTCTTGGTGGTAGAACGTGCCATCAAGTCACAGCTGACTTATCGCAACCCTGTAGGGTTTTCAAGGCAAGAGACATGCAGAGGTGCTTTGCCATTGCTTGCGTCTGCATCACAACCCTGGTATTCCTTGGAGGTCTCCCATCTAACTAGCCAGGGCCAAATGCCTCCCTTGGCATCCTCTGTAATGCTGCCTACCTTTCTGGGTTGCCATATGTCTGCCTCTGTCTGTTGTGCAAGGGAGAGTTTAATGGCCTATAAAATTGGTGTCTCTTCTCCCGTTTGCCTGAAATTTGACAGAGATGATCCCTGGACTGAGGGCAGCAGTACCTGAAGGTTTCATCCCAATTAAATGGAAAAACAAGGAAACTGTATTCTAACTGCACATGTATCCCACTGAAATGGGATACACCAATGGGAAAATGAATGAATGCACAACGAATGAAACAAAAACAAAACAAGAAAAGGATGTGTGGGGGGGGAGGCAGTGGATGTGGATGAGCTTGCTATCCATTTTAATGCTATAAGAAATTGAAGGTTGCTGGGAAACACCACCATATACCCATGCCCAGGATCATATATCAGATCTATATATTTTAATTATTTTAATTATTCATTCATGAGAGATATATAAACAATCTGTCGGGACTGTAGTGATTCACAGTACAATCTCAATCAAGTCTAGTCAGAATTCAGCTCAATGGGGCTTTCTCCCAGGAAAATCTCTTTAGGATTGCATTATTAAAACATTTTGAAGTGGAAGAAGACGAAGAAGAAGAGATTGGATTTATACCCTGCCCTTCACTACCCAAAGGTGTCTCAGAGCGGCTTACAAACTCCTTTCCCTTCCCCTCTCTCCATTGACCACATCCACCACCCTATATTGTGATATCAGTATAACAATGCATCTTTGTGAACTTTTAGATTTGTTGTACTTTCTATGTGTTATTTCTGTGAGTGCAGACCAGGCACCCTATCAAAGAGCCAGACTGAAGACAAGCAGGTTTAAATTTCTCCTCAGTCGAGAATTTCACTGGGTGGCTCATTGGCCCATTCACTTCCTTTTCAGTTCAACCTACCTCATAATAATTTTTTTGTGAGGGTGAAATGGAGAAAAGGAAAATCATGCCTGCCACCCTGAGCTCCTTAGAGGAAGGGCAGGATAAAAATGAAAGAGAGAGAACTGGTTGCTGAAATATTTTTTCTGGCCATCATGGTTGAGGAAACAGCTGTGCCCATTTACTGTGTGAAAGTGATCATGTAGATGTGGTGGGACTGTGTGGAGAAGATGCCATGGGGATACGCCCCCTTCCGAATTTGCAGTGCCCCCAAATCTGGCTGAGGGAGAGGCGGCAGGCTGAGCAGACAGGGCTGGGATGTGAATGAGGCCCATCCTCCCTGGGACGCGCATCCGAGCTGGAATCTTCTTGCGCCTTTCGCTGATCTCTCTCTTGAGGGTGCCTGTATGGGCCTCAAGTTTGTAGCGCCTGACCACTACAGACAAGTGGCCTTTGGGGATCAACCCTTTCCTGGCCTGGCCTGCAAGCATCCCTCTGGCTGAGGCCAGCAGGCATTGTGGCTCTGGGCAGAGGCTGGCTGTGGCCCGGACTGCCCCTCCCCTGGATAGGTTGCTGACCCGCCCCTTTTCTCCCTGCACCTTCGGCCACAGCGTCTCCTTTCCCTCCCTCCATGAGCTGCAGACCGATGCTGAGCTTCAGCTACCACTTTCACACTGCTCATCCAGTATGGCTGCTCCAGCGAGCCGCAGGTGGGTGCCCCTCACCCCCCCATCCCCTCTCTTGCCTTGTATTTATTTTGTGGAAGATTTCCTACAACCCCATAGTGTTTTCAATTAATTAATTTAATTTAATTAGCCCCATGCCCCCTCCCCCCCCCCCAATGAAAAAAGGTCTAGCTACAGGGCTGAAATCTCCTTCCCTTCTTGTTGTCAATTTAAGATTGTAAGCCATTTGGGGCAACGCCCAGTGAAGGCTCAGCATAAAATGTAAGCAATAAGAGCTTAATGTTTTCTGATAAGTTACTCTAACAATCCAGAGCTGCAGCACCAGTCCAGTGCCAGAAACAAGAGCAGAGGTCCATCAGTGGCTATTAGCCACAAGGTATAGATAGGAACTCTCAGTCTGGGGCAAGTGATGCTCTGTATTCTTGGTGCTGGGGGGGGGCCAACAGTGGGAGGGTTTCTAGTGTCCTGGCCCCACTGCTGGACCTCCTGATGGCACCTGGTATTTTTGGCCACTATGTGACACAGAGTGTTGGACTGGATGGGCCATTGGCCTGATCCAAAACTGGCTTCTCTTGTGTTCTTAGAGATAGAAAATCACTGCTTTTTTAAAAAGACCGAAGTATTTTGAGCCATAAATCTATTCCTCAGATACAGGGTGTGAGTGTTGGCCATTAAGGCCAAAAGGAAAAGTCCTTGTGCGTTGCAGGCTTTGGGGGGCACCACCCTGGGTTGCCTGAACTTGGGGGCCACCACCACCCCGCACCAGGGCCTATCTTCCTCAAAATGCTATGAAATCAAACTAAAAATAATCTAAATACTAATTTGTTTGTTGCCTTCTTGTAAAATGCATCAAAGCAATTTTCAATACATAGGTTAGTTGAGATGCAGTTTAGAAAGTGTACTGTACAGAAAAATCCACTGCCTAACTCAGTCAAAATGGTCCACAGTGTTATCATTGGAACATAAGCATCAGATCTTTAAAATGGCTTCCTTTCTCTAGTTCTTGTTGCAACTCGAAGAAAGCCAAATTAGGACGGATAGATAAAACCCCGAAATGAGAGGCTGTGCATGTGTGCGTCTGGGGAGATAGAATCCCAGGAACATGTGTTCCTAAGATGTCCATTATATAACGAAGCTCGCACAAAACTTATTGGTCCTCTCTTGGTTGGCTCCTCGGATCAGGATAAGATAAAGAAATTGCTTATAAATTCTGATCATATAGCGCTACACCAGATAGCGAAATTTTGTTGTTTGGTTGTAAAAGCTCATCAGTGTTCAGGCAGCCACTTGGGTTAGGACTGTTTGTTTTTAATCTAATTGATCTTTTTATTCTTATTACTTTATTTTTTTAAGACTAAAATTCTGTCCTTTTTTACACCGTATTTCTGGTTTTAGACTTTAAAATGCTTGTATAATTTTACAAAAATAGTTTTACAATCAGGATATTTTAGACATTGTAGTCTATTTATATGATAAATATTTGTAGGTATGGTTTTATATTGCTGGCTATGCGCTGTAATAAATTCAATTCAATTCAATTCGATAAAACCACAGTTTGCTTTTAAAACTGTACATTGCTTTTTTTCTTTGCAAACATATCAAGGCATCTGCTAGAATGTAATCTTTTAAAAAAATTCTGTTTATCTAAATTATGCTGTGTCTTTCTTTTATCTTTAATTCAGGGAGTGAGTTTTCCGGAAGTCCATACAGCCACCCGCAGTATTCAACATACAATGATTCTTGGAGATTTCCCAATCCTGGATTGCTAGGTAAGCCCCCCCCCCATACCTGGAGTTTCATAATCCGAAAGGCTGGAGGGCAACCATGGGACTGCAGGAAAGATGGGTAAGGTAGGTGTTATGTCTGTACATAAGGCGGCAAGCCTGGACCTGTCTGGCAGGCCACCTAGATGGAGGGTGGGGAGGCATGTCGGGGCTTGCCTGGGCTTGTCTGGGCAAGCCACCTAGTTGGAGCTTGAAGCTCCAGAACAAAGGCAGGCAGGATCCTGGAACCTGCCTGCGGATTGGCCCCGACAGCCAGCCAATCTGGAGCCTGGAGGCCATTTGAACTCTCCAGTTGCATGGGGGCTGGGAGCAGTTGCCCCATGTAAAGTATTCCTGTTGAGATGCAATAGACTGCTGCTTGCTGAAATCACTCTGCCTTCGCCTCTACCGTGTTAAACCCACTATTTAACATTAGGAAATACACATCCATATAACCAGCTGTGCAACTAGAGAAATAGATGTCAACGTAAATGCCAGATCATCTAACCTAATGTTGATGTAGTCAATGTAGTAAAACCAAGAAAAAGAAAAAAAAGGAACACTGAGGTAGGACAGGACTAGCTCCTGTATGGATAAAAAATAAGCATTAGGGCCAGTCATGACTATATTTGAGGGTACTGCAAGCCCCCCCCCATGTTTTCAGGAAAAAAAATGTACTTTATAAAAGATAAACTAACATGATGGTTGTAATGTATTTAAAAGCTGCTATAAATACGTTAAAATGTAATGTAAAACATTTTATAAGGAAGCAATGTTAAGCTTTGTCTTGAACAGGGATTGAAGTCTAAAACTAATGCGACCAATTAGGTTTAAATGTATATAAGCAAAAACAATTTTGATTGGTCCTTATTCGCTTAACCTAATAGGTTAATAACTGTATAGTAGGCGTGGCTACATTAGCCCAAAATGTTTAAATACCAAGCAGCTGCAATAAAAAAGCTGTTCGGGCTATTAAAAGTTGTACCGTGTTAGAGAAGTGATCATCGAGCTAAAATAAACCTGAATTTTGCTGAAATCACTCTCTGACTATTTTGTTAAGCATCGGACTTAACAATTGGCGACGAGGATGGGATTCTAGTGCGGGTAGGCAGCCCCGCTGGTCCCAACCCCACGACGGACAACTGCGAGCCGCAGCTCGCCGTGGCAAAGCAGCAGCAGGCACCACTAGAGCCGGTGGCAGCAATTGCAGCTATGGCCAATAGCCCGAAGTTCAAAGCTTTTTTGCTGAAATCACTCTCTGACTATTTTGTTAAGCATCGGACTTAACAGTGGTAACCCCCCAAGTGGCGCTGCGGTGGCTCAAGTGGTTGACGCTGAACTGCAGGCTGTGGAAGGTCTGTAGTTCAGCAGTTCGAGACCCGAGTTGCCACAAGACAGAGTGAGCTTCCGTCTCTAGCTCCAGCTCCTGCCAACCTAGCAGTTCGAAAGCAAGAAATTGCAAGTAGATAAATAGGTACCGCTTCAGTGGGAAGGGAACAGTGTTCCGTGCGCCTTGGTGTTTCGTCATGCCGGCCACATGACCACGGAAACGTCTTCGGACAGCGCTGGCTCTTCAGCTTTGAAACGGAGATGAGCACTGCAACCCTAGAGTCGGACTCAATTGGCTTTCGAGCAAGGGAACCTTTACTTTTAACCCCCCAAACCTCCCCCCATGCTAAGACATTGCAAAAAGACTCCCTAGAGTTCAGGCAGCATAGTAGGTTGCCTTAGAAACCTAAAACGGTGCCTGATAGTGTGGCAGTGGCCACCACAACAAAGAGGATGATGATGAGGAGGAGAAGGTGAGGGGGGAAGGAGGTGGAGCCAATGTTGGGTAGTGGTGGTAAAGGAGGACAGGAGCCAGAGGAGGGAGGGAAAGCAGAACTGGAAGGGGAAGAAGCACGGGCTCGCGGGGCAGGGGAATGTGATTTCCTCTCCCCCATAAATCTTTGCAGGTCTCCCACGTGTTCTCTCTAATGCCAAAATGGGTAGCCACATGTCAGTCGCTTCTGCAACAAAATGGGGTCACCCACAAACCAGTGGGAACTTTCTGCATTCCCAGGGGGAACTCAATGTATGTGGCAAAACCCCTTTTTTCTCCCAAAGAAGAAGAAGAGATTGGATTTATACCCCGCCCTTCACTACCCAAAGGAGTCTCAGAGCAGCTTACAAACCCCTTCCCCTCCCCACAACAGACACCCTGTGAGGTGGGTGGGGCTGAGAGAGCTCTGACAGAAACTGCTCTTTTTCAAGAACAGCTGTGCCAGAATACGGCTTGCCCAAGGTCATCCAGTCAGGTGCAAGTGGAGGAGTGGGGAATCAAACCTGGTTCTCCCAGATTAGAGTCCGCGCACGTAACCACTACACCAAACTGGCTCTCAATACCGCAAGGATTTGCAGAATTAGGACTGTACATGCTATCATTGGGAACACAGGGATAGGCCTTCATTCTTCATTCTTGCTTTGTGAGATCTCAAGTGTAAGTAGAGTTGCTAGCTCCAGGTTGGGAAATACCTGGAGATCTTGGATATGGGATTTGGGGAGGTGAGGGACTTCAATGGGGTATAATGCCATAGAGTCCACCTTCCCAAATGACAGTTTTCTCCAGGTGAACTGATCTCTGTCACTTGGAGATAGTTGTAATAGCAGGAGATCTCCAGCTACCACCTGGAGGATGGCAACCCTAAGTGGAAGCAAGGGCTTGCTGCTTGCATGCATTCAGCCTACAACCTACACTGAAATCTAACTCAAACATTGATCCAAGAGGAGAGAGTGAGTAAAAATGAAATATCCAACCTGGCTACTACCTGTAAGAATAACTTGTATACACACAGAGGAAATAGATGTCTTATAAGAAACAACTTAAGTCTAACTCCGAGTTTAGTCCATGAGGAGAGAGAGAATTTAAGCAAAGTATCCACTTAGCCTCTTCCTGCAAAAGTATCTTGTGAGCGTCCCTCCTTTTGTTGTCTACAAACAAAACTGTGTAGCAAAACTCATCACATTTATGATTGTTAGAGACAAAGTGCTCAGTTAGAGCAGCCTCTAGGATATTGTGTCTTATGCGTGAAATATGCTCTAAGATGCGCACTTTGATCGGCCGGACTGTTTTCCCCACATAAAATTGTGGACAACCACATACAATAACATACACTTACAGTTTATGCCTGCGGAAATGCCCCGTCTGAACGCACCCATGGTGTCATATTTCTCCATGTCATATCCTGTAAAGATTCTTACCACATTCGTTCGCTTTCATGATGCTATTAAAGAAGCCAGTTTAGCACTTACACATCTGAACCAAGAGCTGTTGTTCTAGATACTCCCTTCCTTGGTCCCCAGCCTGTTTCATTTAGATTTTGTTTTTAAAAAATCTAAGCCTTGCTTGGCATCATGTCAGCATAACACAATACGGGAAGCATTTCCCAGCCCTCTGAGAATTATTTGTTATCTCCATGTTTTGCTATGTGTTGGGCATCATGTTCCAGTAATATCCACTTTTATAGTAAGGCAGAATCCCATTGGTTCTGGAAGTATCTTTGCAGGCTCCTAATGCAGCAGATCCCAGGGTAGTAACCCCCCTCCCATTTTAAAAAGGAGGATAAGCAGCATCCATTTTATGCCACTGTCAAAATCTGGCCCAACCTGACCTTACATGTGTGTAGCACATGGTGATTAGAATTCTCCTGCATAATCTATGTGGAAGAGGTAAGTAAAATACCAATTAATTGTCACCTCTCTAGCACAGAGATATTGTGCCTTAGAGACTTTCAGATTTATGGATGGAAAGGTTGTTATGAGCGACCTCTAGCAGAGAAATGATTCTGAATTTTTGTCATTTTTTTTAAAAAAAGAATCAGTTCCTTTGTTTTAAGTAATTGAGTCCCTAAGTAATTGAGCCCCCTAAGCTTTTTACCCATCACATTTCTTGCCCTTAAACTAATCCTTTGGGAGCAATTGATGGTTCTAGTGTTCTTTATCACACTGTTTTTTGTGGTACAAAATGGCCATTTGCTATGAGTTTCATTCTCTGGTTCCTCCCAGCCAAAATCAGGAATGATTTTCTATTTCCACTTTGTTTTGACAGATGATCCGTTCTATGTCAGCTGCAACTGCATATATTATTATTTAATCTGGTGCGTGTTTATCCCAACCTTCCTCCACGGATTCTCAGAGTGGTGTACATGATTTTCTTAGCCTCCATTTTATCCTCACAACAATCCTGCAAGATAGGTTGGGCTGAGAGAGAGCAACTGGCCCCAGGTCACCCAATTAACTTCCATGGGAGGTGCGGACTTGAACATGAACCTTCCCCATCCTAGTCTAACTGCTATAAATTACTGCCTTTCAATTATACAAAATTCATAGCCCCAAATAGAGCAGATGGCCGTATCAGATCAATCCGTACAGATGTGAAACACACGAAAGACTAGTTTCTGGCTAGTTTCACACATGCATGAACGTTGCTTCATTTCTTATCACTTAACTGGACAACAAAATGAATGATGGACTTCACTACACACACTCACAACCAAGGTGGCAGAGTGGGCTGTACCACTTCAAACTATAGGCAGGGGGTGCATTCTAAACATTTAAAATGCAAATTTAAAATTTAACATATCCATGCAAGTTAAAAGTTAGCCCATCAGGGCAAATGGTTGTTTTCTATCTACTCCCTGCAGTGCTGTTTTATCGATTTGCAGGCAATATTTTATTTGACAATATAAGTCAATACACTGTAGTTGAAGGAAAGTTTTTACCTGCAGTCTCTGGCCATAGCTAGCCAGGGGTGGTAGGGGCTATGTCCCCTCAGATGTGCCCATCCCGGTGGATGTCAAAACCTCCCATCTCCACGAAGCCTATGCCTGCTGGCTGCTGCTGTTCTGAGCCCTTCACTGCAGGCGTGTGGAGAAAGCACATGGCGGGGGGCGGGGAGAAGGGAGAGCTGAGCGAGTGCACAGCCGGCTTCAGCCCCAGCCTGGCTGCTGGTCAGAAGGCTTCTTGCC